TTTGAGTAAAATTTTTTTATTATCTTCTTCTTTATCTTGTGTGTGCACTAGAGAGGAGAGAGAGAGAGAGCTCGAGGTAAGGGCGAGCGCAATACCCATCTGTCATCGGAAGAGTCCGTGACTCGTGGCCTTCCCCCGTCATCTCCGTTCTTCTTTGTTTCCCCCAACCGCCGGCCCTAGCTCTCCCCTGAGCCGCAGGACACACTTCACTCCTTTCATCCCTTACAATATTCCACCTCCTAGCTTCCCAATTCAAATCCTACCATCATCAAGATTCACCTCAACCCGACGGCGAAGTCTTTCCCCTTCTTTGGCCGCCGGCCACCTTCATGATCCAAGTCATTATGATGAATCCAAACCTCATAATGGCTCCCTAATTTGGGTTCTTGCAATAAAGGGAGAATTTAGTTATTTGGATTTTCAAATTTTGAAATTCAAAATTTGACATTCAAAACTTTCCATATTCGCAAAAGTCCAAATAAGGAAAGTTTTGAAATTGAATCTTATTCAAATTTCATGAAGAGTGGATTTATTAATTTTCCCTCCTGCTTGGCCTCAACTCATTTGGAAAGCAATTAACCACTCCCTAATCCCCTCCCTCTCCATTGATGCCGCCGGCCATACAAAGGGGAAACTCCCTCTTGGCTTCCAAATGAAACTCCTGCACTCATTAATGGGATTTTCAAATTTCAATTTGATTCCCTCCAAAGTGTTCAAAATCTGAAATTAATTTCAGATTTGCAACAAGCCTCTTTCTCCCCCCATCTAACCTAATTCCCTCACCCCAAGCCACCCGTCACCCCCCCTCTCTCTCTACCTTGGCCGATCTCCTTGCTCCCTCCCTTGGAAGTTTTGAAGCCAAAATAAGAAGACGACATCCTCTCATCTCCATTTCAATGACTTATGGCCGATCCCGAAGTTGATAGCGAATTCGTACTCGACGCCTACGGAGACATCCACATCGTTCGCTCACCATTCTTCGACGTCGGGTTTGGTTTTGAAAACACCGTTGAATATTACTTGAACCGAATCCTCCCCGCCCTCATGGACATCATCGACGATCAATTCTCGGACTACGAGTGGACCATCAACGGCCGTCCACCTGTGCCACCTCCACCACCGTCGACCTTTCCGTGGATTAAGACCATTGGCATTGCGACCGTCCTCGTGGCTTCGTTGGGTGTGCTGAAGACCTTTCTCTGCTAAGTCGTATCTTTAGCACGAGTGAGCATGGAACTCGTTGTGAACTTTCTAAATATTAACCGTGGGATTCTTATTACAACATATTTGTTTTCACTGTGATAATTTCTGATCTATCTTAAATTGTCCTAACTTCTAGCTTCGTAATTGCTTATCATAACAAAATTGACGATTGAGGGTCCTTTAATCTTGCCTGACGAAACATCAATCTTGAAAGTAGCAAGATCTTTTTTCTTTAAATATTTCTTGTGCAATTCTTGTATGTTTCACATCATATTAAGCTTTAAACAAGAGGCTCGTTTAAATTAGCGAATGAGCCTTATTGAGCTATTGATGAACACGCCTTATCGAGCTATTAACGAATGACACTTATTGAGATTTTCATTAGCTTAATAATTGAACTTTGTTTAGATTTCTAACAAACACTTGTATTGAGCATCTTAAAGAACATAGCTGTCAGGCTTTGTTGAGCCTATAAACTAGCTAGCTTATTGAGCTTTCTCCAGCTCATAAACAAGTAGCTTTGTCAAGCTCATAAATGATACTTTTAATGAATGATCTTCTTCACGAACACAAAATGAAACAATATATCAAACATGAAAAGTATATTTTGATCATGAACAAACTCAATCTATAATGAGACTTAATCAATATTTATATCGAACAATAATCTAGCTTTTTCATGAGCTCCGTATCAAACAAGAATAGAGTTTCTTAATGAGCTTCTTATCGAGCTTCGTATCAAGCATGTTCGTGAGCTTCAACGATGTTGTTCGTGAACATAAACGAGTTAAACAGAGTTAATCAAACTTATTTGATTATTTAATCAAACGATCATGAACGAGCTATAATCGAACGTAGCACGAGTAGTTTGTCAAATGCTCAAGCTCATTTGAATCCCTAATAATTGTTATAGATTTTTTTTTTAATTTTTCTAAATATTTATTGCTAATATCTTTTAAATGTAGTATACATGATATAAAAAGTAAAAATAATTACAAATAATAATTTTACGTAAATAAATTTAAATTTTCAATATTTATTTGATTAGGGATTATGTTACAATTTCTTAATCCCCCCTTTAAAATATTTAATTTAAAGATAAGATAATATATATATATATATATATATATATTAACCACTAAAGATAAGATAAAATATATGCTTAATTAACTAAATAGGTTGGGTCAGATGACTGGGTTCGGGTAGAGGGATGAATAAGTTCGGCTAGGGCAAAGATGGGAATTGGCGAGCAAGAAGAGGTCTTGGGTGAGAAGTCGGTCTATTCAAGTGGGGATGAGGCGTGAGAGCAGAGATGATATTTGGATCGATTTAGGGCCGGATGGACCGACTGGATCGACGGCTAGGTAGGAGAAATCTCCCTCCCTCTCTCTCTCTCTTCATTCTAGACTGACGGCTTGCGTACAAGGTAGGGGTGGAGAGGGGTCGGGTGTGGCTTGAGGCAGGTGAGAAGCTTGGAGGATTCATGTAGTTGAAGTGCTCGGTAGAAGGTGGAGATCGGACAAGGTAGATGCTAGGTCGGCTTTGGTCGTCAGTTGGAGTGCAGCTACAGGTCTGAAGAGCTATTGGTTTGAAAAGGAGATCGGATGTGATTGCTGGAGGGAGGTCGGGTAGAGGAGTCGTGAGGCTTAAAGAGGTGGAGTCGGATGGGTTGGGTGATTTGCGAATGGCAGAGGGAGACAGATGGGTAGAGAGGCGGAGGTCTTACGAAGGCTCAAGACTGAAAGGAGAAATGAACGAAGGCCTCGCCTGCCTTTTATTAATGCGAATGGGAGGAGCAGCTGCGCACGTGAGAAATGGGACATGAATTCGACGCCGTTTTGCATAACTGTGACATAATTACTGTAGCAGAAGGCGAGATTCGAGCAAAATTTGCGAGATGGGAAGCCGGCTTCACAATTTTTATATTTGATTTTCTTTTGCTTTGTTTCAGAGGTCAACACATACTCAGCGATCTCAATATAAGTGAACCATTGAGGAGAGTGGTAAGCTGATTTCATTTCCAAATAAGTAAGAGCGGTGGTTTCTGAAAGTTGAAAGTCCTTACTTCTCTTGTGAGTTGAAATTTACATACCAGAAATCGAAACTAACTCCACCGGCGGCATCGGCCTCTCCATCTCGCTTTTGTCCCCCTCACTGCCGGCATCGGGATGGCATGATTCGGCATCGGGATGGGTGGATTCGGCATCGGGATGGTGGATTTAGCATCGCTGCCGCTTGCCCCCGGAACAAAATTTATTTGTAAGAGAAATTTTGAAGTTCGTTTGTATGAAAATTAGGGAGCGGTACTGAGCGTGTACCTAGTTGTACCGAGCTGTACCGAGTGGTACAAAGCATGTAACTAGCGGTACCGAGCATTTACATAGCGGTACCGAGCGGTATCATGCATGTACTTAACAATACCGAGCGTGTACCTAGTTGTACCGAGCTGTACCGAGTGATACAAAACATGTATCGAGCGGTACTGAGCGGTATCATGCATGTACTTAGCGATACCGAGGGTGTACCTAGCGGTACTGAGCGTGTACCTAGTTGTACCGAGCTGTACAGAGCATGTATCTAGCGGTACCGAGCGGTATAAAAATATTCATAAGTATGCCAAAATTTAAAAACAATTTGGCGCGCTATTTTGCGTCGTGCGTAATGCGCCATGACTCACATGTGGCGCAAATAGCGCGCGCTATTTTAAACACATGCGCCTCGCCATGAACATGGCGCCGTAGGTGCGCCGCGCCGCACCGTGCGCCATGGCGCGCGCTATTTTGCGCCATTGACAGCTATGTTCACGAGTTCAAAATCGAACTTCTTATCGAGCTTAATGTCGAGCTTGTTCACGAACTTCAAATGATGTTATTCGCGAACATAAATGAGCCAAACGCATTAGTGTTCAAGTTTGTTTATTTAAGAATTGAGTATTTAAAATATTGTTCAAGTTTGTTTGTTTAGTCAATTAAACGATCGCAAACAAGCTTTAATCGAACCGAACAACGAGTAGCTCATCGAACGTTTGGTTCACTTGCAGCCTTAGGGCTGGCTAATTCGGCGTGGATGATCGTCGAATGAAGATATACGAAGACGAAGTTTCGGGAGAATGAGTTGGCTAGGGCACGAAAGGATGAGATCGCCAGATTTATGAGTGGTCGTGCTTAGCCGGCGGTTTACAAACCGTTGCTACAAAATATTGGGGTAACTTCAACTTTTTTATGGTGAATTTACTAGTGGTTAAAACCGTTATCTATATCTATCTATAGCGGTTGTTTGAAAACCACGGCTATAAAATGTAGCAAAAACATTAACTTTTTGATAGCGTGGGATGAACCTTCCTCAAAAGACTTATCATCATCCACCTTGCTATAATGTGAAAAGAAGCAAATTCAGTAAATGGAAGAAGTCAAAAGTTAGGACAATAACAAGGTTTCTCAATAACCCTACTCATTCAAGGAAAAGAACTGCAAAATAAATGATATGGATAACAAGGAAAAAATGTTCGGGAAATTTTATTTGCTTTGCTAAGGTGCAAGGACTGTAAGTGATGCCCTCCCAACTCCATTAAATGCGTTATAACAAACAAATAGCATAGGAAGCCCCCTAAGAATCCCATCTCCAGCACACAAACATAAAAGAAGGATTCAATGCTCCATAATCAAATGAACTGATATATCCCATAATAATATTTTATGAAAATTCTTAACTAGAATCATATTTCTCATGTATGTGCTCATATGAATACACCATGCATATCTTCTCAAACAAAATAAATATGCATATGCCAAAAATACCTGAATTTGGTGGAGGTGATTGACCAAAGCATCTATAAGGACTGTTTTGAAAGTCCCCCAATTAATGTTTTGGCATTCTAATGCAACTTACTGTTCAAAGAAAAAAAGAACTCATTAACTTTTTCCTAGTATGAATAACAAATACAGAAACAAAGTTATCCAAAAAATCAAACATTTGGTATTTTTGGGAGTTCACCAATTTCAGAAAGTTGACAATTTCCCATGTTGTATCTATATCTTAAAAAAAAAAAAAGTTAGTTATGCTCAAATCTATCGAGTGTAAAAGATAAAGAATTAAAAAAATATCAAATTTGAATGTGAATAGAAATTCTACCTCTTTAGTCCAGGCAATAACAAGCTGATAAATTGAGAGAAGATTGTTAATTAATGTATCCTAAATCAAGTAAGTTAAATGCATTAGAACATTAAGGAAGCTTAATAAAAACTTAATGCCCAAGAGTAATGAAAACTTAATATAACTTGTGTTTGGAAAATAGATGGGTGCATCTACTCAGACAACCACCATACCATCATATGCATATGCTTCAGGATATTGTAAAATGCTTCTGTAAATTGCTGTTCCAGGTAGTCGCCGTAACATAGCTGCAGAATTCAACCTAAATTAAATTACCAGCTAAAGTATGAAGAAGAAGATTTCGAATGATGATGCTCAACGGTAGAAATGTATTCACCTAAAAGGATCAGACAATTTACAAAAATGAATGAGAAAATAATTAGTACTCTTAAATTATATCTGTTAATGAAGAATATTTCGATTTAGCATATTATAAACCACAGGGAAGAAATTTGATTTTAAAAAGAGGCTTAGATTTTTTTATTTGAAGTAGATTTAAGCATAAACATGTTTTGATTCATTCCAGCATATGCAAGTAATTATGACTAGATCATCATACAATTAAAAATAAAATAAAATTATTATATCCTATGTCCTCATGGAGTTATATCAGTACTGAATAGCAGCAAGAAAATGCAACTCACCTTGATATGTTGGTTGGGAGCTTTGACTATCAACCAAGAGGTTTGGGCTGAAAGGTTGTGAATGTGATGTGCATGTGAGTTTACCTTACTTGACTCCAAAGTCTAAAAAAAAATAGCAGTTGGAACTTGTTTAGCGCAGTATAAGACAGGATAACATTTTCAAAGAAAATCAATAAAGTTCACCTATTGATGGACCAAATAATTTTTTTAAGCGGAAGAGAAAGGGAATGTAGGCATGGTAAAGGGTCGATAACTGAGCCATCTAAAATGAATATACTGAAGACGAATTTACCAGCAGCTAATATACTTTTTGAGGTGATCCATTCGAATCATTAAACTCACCCACATGTGGATTTGCCAACTAATGAATGACAAATGCAAGAAAGAAGGCCGCCAACAAACAAATAAAGCCTTGGTCTTAAAGAACCAGGTATGGCCCATTAAGCAAGAACATATAGATTAAAACTTTAAAAGTCATTTTCATATTTAAAAACATGAAAAACCATGTAATTTTTTTTATAAGAGTCTAGACAAATTAAATTTCAAATAGAATAGCTACAGAAAGTTAGTATTATTGAACATCAGCATAATAATTTTTTCATTGTAACTTAATTACATTAAACCTACCTTTGCATTGACTTCAGAAAAAAATTGCATTGACTTCATAGACTCATCAAATTTTGCTCAAATTCACACTGGATGAGCAACCGTTGATGCAAGTAAATATAAAAAAAGAAAATGTCATAAAGAAGTTAAATAATCAGATGAAGCATGCAAGGTATTTTTGGTTACAGTAAGGAACGGAGCAATGCCACCAAGTGGTGTATAAGCTACTTACAATACAACGACGAACAAAGATCAAATTAGTAGACTGAAAGAAAATTATAAAAATAAAATGGTAGCCCACAAACATGCAGAATATGCTGATGAGAAAACAGGGACTTACTTGTGTGTTCTTACCAGGCCCATCACAGAAGATACCACAATTGCAACCTTACCTAATGGTGGTAAATGCGCTGAAACTAGCAAAAGGGATTGTGCTTGCTCCCTTACTTGCAGCTTTTCCCACAGTTGAAGTTTCATAAAGTTTCCATAGCCTCAATGTTTCATCCCCAGCTGCTGATGCCACTCTACATCCATCAGGGCTTTGAGTCGTGAACAGCACTCGAGAAAAATGACCATTGAGTTCAACTATCTTCTCCATAGATGGATACCTCCACAATACCAAATTGTTGTCAGGTAGACCATGAGAGCTCAACAGCTCACGCTCATTTTTACTCCATATAAGTCCAGAAACCTGTGAGTTAGTATCAACTGAACTGAGACGATTCCCTGTGTCTGTGTTCCAAAATCTGATGCATCCGTCACTCTCACCACCTCCAGAGGCAAGTAAATTTCTCTGGAAAGGACACCACGCAAGAGCTTTAACTGCACCCGTATGCTCCTCAAACCGATGGAGCCATGGACTTCGATTTGAAGTTGTGGTGGAGGCAGCCATGGAGCAGTCCCACACATGAACAAGATTGTCATTGCCTCCGCTGGCTAACTTGTTTGCAGAGCCCGACCATTTTAGCCCACAGACCTCCATATGATGCCCTGTATATTTCTGGACAATGTGGGATCTAATTCTCACGTCATTGTTTACAATATTGCCATCCATTCCACCTGTTGTGAGGATACCTCCATTCCAAGCAAGAGATCCTACTCTGGACTGATGAATACCTTCTAGAGTTCTCAATGGACGATTCAAGGTAACGTCCCACAACTGAACGTAAGAATTGGACAACCCAAGGGCAATGTGCTTCCCATCCGGAGCCCAAGAGACGCTGCTTACAGGACTAACATGATCACTAAATGTCACCAATTTAGACGTTGATCCGTTAGAAGCATCCCACAAGTAAACTGAGTTCCGGAGGGCAACAGCAATGATATTTCTTTTTCCCCAATCAAGCAGATTTAGATAAAAATCACTCTCAATATTAGGCGCACCAAGTACCTTCTCAGCAGATTGAGGAATATACCTCTTGTTCTTTAAAGGCCTTTTATGATTGGAAGAAGAATCAAAGAAAATTTCTGGGAATATCTCTTCAGACGGTGCCGAAGGCTTGCTATTGAATTCGAGTATCCGAGTTCGATTTTGCAAAAGAACGCGGTCAAGAATCTCCCTGTAAGCCCCTTTTCCTTTTCCTGACGATGATATTCCTGAATTGTTCTCCTTCTCCTTTCTTGGAGCCGCCATTAACAGATAATGGGCGATGTCCAGGTTCATTGCGGATCTATTCGGAATAAATCTATCGCCACCACCTTGCCGCGAAGAGGAAAACTTGGAAGAGAAACGGCCTAAATGGCGATATTGCGCTCTGGCATCCATCATAAAAAGATTAAGCAAAAGAAATAATAAAATTAATTCTGTATACAAAAAGAAATAAGAATTTTGAACGTTTAAGATCGAGAAGCAGGTTGATGGCAGCTGAATAGGGTTTGTATTAGGGAACTCCGTTAGCCGTTCACAAAACCGAAGATTCGGAACCCAAAATAGATTTCTCAGAGACAATCCGTAAGCTTGCCGGAAGATTTGGAAGGATTCGCAGAGGCTAGTGAAAGCACGCGTTGTGCTTTCAGTGAAGAAGAAGAAGAAGATGAAAGAGTTTCTACAACAGTAGAATAATTTCTCCTTTTATAAGGGTTTTATTCTTAATTTTAGAAAAAAAAAAAATTCAGTGACATATTTTTGGAAAGATTGCCAAATACGTTGCAAATTCAAAATTCAGAAGATATTAAAAAAAAATTAAATTTTAGTTTCATTTTATTGCGTTAATTTTAAGATGCTTTAAATTTAAAGGATCAAGTGGCCCTTGTGGGTCACCTTCATATTTTTATTTTTTTTAGGTTTTTTCTATTTTATTTTATTTAGTTTTTAAATTTAAAATAAAATATTTTTGATAATTTTGAAATAAAATATTTTTTTTTTTTT